GCAGTTCTGGTCCACTTCTGGGATTGCCACCAAGCATGTGGCCCACCTCCGTGGGTCACTCCATCCGTCCCAGCATTGCAACATTCACAAGTCATGCCTAGTACCTTGAGATATGTAGAAAAAACATTCAAAGTTGTGTCTAAGGCCAAATTGCTGATTCTCCAAATCAGCATTGAATCTTCAGATTCAGATTTGGCCAGATCAAATCAGGGACAGTGACCCAAATCAATTAATTGAATTGCTGTCCTCAATTCAGGCTGAATCTGAATCGAATACAGCTCATTTTGCACACCCCTAGTAACATAAGGATTTTTCTAGAGTTGCACTGGCAAGGACACTCAGGTGAGGATACTGGGGAGTGCCCTCTCCCCATCACCTTCTTACACAGCTAGTATAAGTTGAAGTCTGTAGTCCCAAAGCCCCTTGCCTTGAAGCCACAGCTTCAATCCTGGAGCGCACCTTCACTCAAGAAGGGCTCCTCTCTCGCTGGGTTGAGCTTGGGGAAACAAAGTGATTGTAAGAGCCAGCCAAAAAAGAAACAGGAAGAATTAAAGATAATCAAGTAGCCACATGAGTCTGCAAATGCTAATGAATGAATCAGCTGTTTTTATACTGTAGGCTGTCTCATATACAGACTGGCAGTTTGGTCCTTCATACACAGAAACCGCCAAAGAGCAAGGGTTTCCAGCTCATAAGAAATTCTGTTTTTGTTTCTCATTTTAGTTTTGGTGTGCATCAACCCCAAACCATTTTTTCCTTTTTAAAATGTCCCACAAACTGGAAGCTCCTAAGACCCTGCAGTTCCTTTGTAAAACTGAGCTTCTTCTCAGTTTCAGTGTAGATAGAATGTCATTTTCACTGAACAGCTGAAGGAGGTTCCCATGGCAGATGCACCAAATAACTCTGATCTGCGGCCAGGCACCCCAGAGCTTGCAGAATCCCTGATACTCCATGGATTCCACTAGAACCCTGCCTTGAAGCTGGAAAAAGTTTGCTGAATCCAATGTATTTCCAATTAAACTTGCTAGGCTCAACAAAACTTTGTTTCACCATAAAATTAATGAACTACCCTACTTGCATGTCATTCCATGCTCTCCTTTCCCTCCTCCATTTTTCTCTAACATACTTCACTTAAAAAGTTTCCTCTATCTTCCTTTTTTCCCCCGAAAATTAAGTTTCCATAAATTGAAAACAGCTATGAAAACAAAACCCGGTGGCACAAAAGCTGCCCTCAGCCTTTTGGATAGGGTGGGAGAAATCTAATAAATAAATACAAATTATGTCTGCAAATCCAAAGATCTCCGGGGCAGAGACTCTCTTTTGTTTCTAATCTTAGCTGGAGTACCCAGTGCTACTGCAATACAAAATTATGGACACAATTACATTTTCTCTTAGAAATGACCATCCAAAGACTTGCTAGAACCAAATAAGCAATTGGTTCTGTCAAGTTCAAATAAACTTTGTTGCCAGTCCAGAAACCCAGCAGTATTGGTATGAGCTCCTATGAAAGAGATCCAGATTTTAAGATGAAGTTCTTGTTTCTTATGCATCCAGACAACAGATTCAAGGAAAGCTGAAGAAGCATTGTAAGCATTGCAAAAAAGAGGAGGATGAAGCTAACATTAGGCCCAGAAGGTTGGTAAAGTAGAAATGCTGGTAGGCTGTCAAAGAACTCCCAGTATAGATCTGAGTCCACCAGTGATGTTTATAACTTGAACAAAAGAGCTCATATTAGATAAACAAACTGTCCGCATCCAGATGCATGCAGCTGTGAGGTATGTGGTGATGCAGATGTTTGTGGCGCCACATACTGCACGCTCAGTTGTTCTCTGTGCTGCAAGGGAGCAGCACGGAGGGGTTTTTTTGACCCCTGGATATCCAGGGGTCAAAATATCCATGGAGAAAAAAGGCGGAGCAGTGCAAGTATGGGCAGCATGTGCCACCCAAAAGCAGAGCTGGGCTGCCCGGATCTACACCACAGCTGCCAACCAGGCTCCACACAGCAGAATTACCACTGCTGCAGCCCTGGGAGACTCTCAGGACCCCAGATATGGTTGCTAAGGCCAGCCCAGTGTTGGCCCCAGCCTCCCATACCACTCCTGGGGCTACTTGCTGCACTCCAGAGCATGCATGACGTAGGCATTCACCAGGGACAAGAAGCACTGCTGCTAGTTGTCCCTGGCGAACCAAACATCCATGCACGTGTGGACACAGCCACTGGAGGCTGATTTGGGGGCTTCCTCAGCTCCAGATTTCTCCTTTCTAGCATTAATGAGGCTGTGGCAGGACCAGGCCCCATGGGCAACTGTGACACCCCCTGGTGACTGTATGGATCCTGTCAGGCTTGAACTCTAAGATATCCTTCCCTTCATTACTTTCCTGCCATGCCTTGTTCTTAATAAATATCAGGGAAGGAAGGCTGCCCACAGGCCTTAGAGTGAGCCTTAGTCCATTAGAATCTCCAACTGGTCCCTCCCAGGCACCCCTAATCTCCACTCAGTACTTGAGATAAATGGGCCCCCTCAGCCTCTTTAAGTCCCTCCAGGGCACTGTAACCTTAAAGCCCAATTGTGTAGTTCTGTCCACCCCAACACCACACCTTAAGCCTTGCAGGTGTTATTGTCCTGATGTTTCTTTCACACTTAGTCCCTCCCTAGGCTCTTCAACCTTCTGGTCTCATACTCAGTCCCTCCCTGGGATCTTGGACCCCCTGGTCTGTCACTCAGCCCTCTGGGTCACTCAGACCCCTCTGGGCTCTCAGACCCCCTGGGTTGCTTAGCCCTCTCTCTGGGCTTGTAGACCCTCTGGTCCCCCTCTCAGTGTTTCTCTTTGCTCATGGACCTTCGGGCCCCACTCTCAGGTTCTCTCTGGGCTCCTGGACCCTCAGTCAATCTGGGCTCAAAGATCCTCTGATCCCACCCTCTAGGCTCGTGGACCCTCTGGTCCTCTCTGCTCAGCCCTCCGGGCTGGTGGACCCTCCGTTCCCATGATCAGTCACTCTCTGGCTCCTGGACCTCCTGGTCCCACCCTCAGCCTGGGCTCCTCACTCCCTGCTAGGCCCCCCTCTCTCTCTCTCTGAGTTCCTGCACTCCTTGCTGGGCCCTGTTTCATATTCAGCCCCTCTATGGGCTACTGGCTCACAGAGTGCCTCGAGCTTGCCTCCAGCAGGGCTCAAGGCATGTAACTCAAACAAGAGTACCAACAGAAAATAAAAGACACTGGCCAGCATAAAACCCTTTTCTTTCTGCCTCGGGGAATATTGCCTTGTTCCCAGGCCCACAGAGTTGCTTAACTTACTTCCTTGGTCGTTTAGGAGCCTTGCTGCAAAGAGCTCCCTTCCTTGTGGCTCTCAGGGCTAGATTCCCTGATCATCTCAGGCTCTGGGCTTACATGGCTCAAGCCCAGCCCTCCTCCAGTCCAGTGAGTCTCCAAGTCATCCCCCTTTGCCACCTCAAAGCTGCTTCTCATCCAGCTTTCCCTCTTAAAATGACATGTACACTAAGCATCCTGCCAGAGAAATAATTCTGGGTCAGCACTTACCACCCAGGGCTTGCTGCAGAAGTTGTAAATGGAGTATAGGGAGTTGACACTATGAACTCCACCATACTGAAAGCCAATGATGAGGTTGCGGAAGTCTTCTCCAAGGGCCATGCTGTAAGCGTGTTGTCGAATCAGAACAAAGTCGGGCTTGAAAGATCTACAAGACATAATTAGAGTAAATTTTTTAAATAATCATCAACATTCCTCCCCTGCCTTTTCCCCCCCAATCCTTCCCTTTTGCTTTCCTTCATATACATTGCACTTCTCAAGCCTGCAGTACTGTCTCAATTATATTACAAAAAAAGTAAAATGAAATAAAATTAAATTAAATAAAAACCCCTCCCTGCACACACACAATCCAACCCCCAATAAACCCAGTGTTTAAAAATAAAAAATCCTATGTAGCCTCAAGCATAGGAACTTAGAAACACTCTACTTGGATTTGCTAGTTTCCATTCCAGTCTGACATGCATGGGAACAACTAACAACTGCTGCTAACCATCATATATTCTCTGAGAGGGGAATTCTCCCCAGTTTGGGGGGTTTTTTGGTCACAGCTGGCGACACTAGTGGCAATGTGCTAAGCAGATAAAGAAGCAAAAGATGATTTGTTAATGGTGGAATGGAATAGCTACAGAAAGGAAGCAAAATAGATCAGTAGATCATTCAGGATTTCAAGTGATGTGACACACATGCATATATTAAACACATTCACTTTGAATCAATTTACCACATAGAGAGCAGAGCACGTATTGGACACTTCCATGTATTAAAAACCAAGTAGGAACAGATATCACAAAGCAGTTAACCAAATTAATAGTGTCCTCCAGGCAGTGGTAGGAATCCAGCACATTATCAGAACTAAGATTTGTACTGGGGTCTTTACAATTTTAAGGGAGAAGTGTTAACCAAGTCAGAGAGGAGACGTCTTTTCTGGTTGAACTGATAGATGAGCTTTAGTATGAATCTACCAGTAAGTGACACTTTGTATATTGTATCTTAGGATCAATTCAAAATATCTGGAAACAGCAATTGGAAAGCTTACCCAAAACAATGCTCAGTAAGCAGTTTGTTTCTGAAGGCACTAGAGCAGTGATTCCCAACAAGGTGTTGTGACACCCTGGGGTGCTTTGAGATCCTTACAAGGGTGGTGGAGGATGCCATACAATGTTAGCACTGTTGGGTGTGCAAATATGACTCAAATTAAACTTAGAGCTTTCAAGTAGGAATCAATAGTGTTGAAAACATTCTGACCTGCTGTGATCTTTTTGAGTTCTCTGCAACAGAAAAATTATTCTATTATTTTTCTGTACTCAAAACACAAGTGAAAGAGATGGCATGTTTCAAAGGGTGTGTCAAGTCTAACGAGGTGTGCCTTGATTCTAAAAAGGTTGAGAACTAATGCATTAGAGCAGTAATTCTCATCTATGGTGCCATGGAGTACCACCAGATCCTCTGAAGGGTGCCAAGCGGTGTGAGGAGATGAGCAGTAAAAGCCTCCAGGCTCAGGCCCCTCTGCAAGAAACTAAGCACTGTACTACATTGGTGACATGCAGGGGGTGCATGTGCACCCCTTGTGATTGGCAGTGCACTCCCTGAGAAAAGGGCTGGCGATGCTGCTCGGGGCCTCGGGGGGCACACGTCATTCATGCTGTAATATATAAATTAGTTTTTGAAAGTGGGTACTACTCAATTCACAAAGTCATGGAGGAGTCTTTTGAGTGCAATGAGGGGTGCCTTGCATCAAAAAGATTGAGAACCACTGTACTAGAGGGACTCTCTGCAGACATGGGGAAAATTTATATTTTAATAAAAGGTAGCATCAAGAGCATTAGGAAAATTTCCAAATTACATGAAAGTTCTTAAGAGAAATAGGTTCCATATCCAGGTCCCATTACCTCACTGCCCTTGAACATTTTCCTTGCATGAGACTATAATTTCTATCCTTCGAATGTACAAAACTGGAAATCTTTAGGGTTTATAGCTCCTATTTATATTTACGACACTCTGGCTGGGAACTCTGAGATGGTGACTCTGGGCCAGACTGCGGCAACACACACTGCAGTGAAAATCTGGAACTGCTTATTGTTTTAAGCTTTCTATTTTACTTGTTGGCCTTGGGCACTTGCTATTAATCTAGATGTAGCAACAAGTATCCCCTCCTCTTGTTATGATGCAGAGGCTTTAGAAACGCTGTGCAATCTTCATAAACTCAGATGGGCTCCTTAATGCGCTTGGCAGCAAAGGTGGCATTTTCCTCAATCAGTGAAATGTGTAATACGTGCCCGGAGGGCAATGCTTGCTAATGCGCAGTTGATTTATGGACCTTCCCAATGTCAATGAGGCAAGACAAGTGGTAACACCATGCTGAGAAACAGCAAGTGAATGCAAACCTGGAATTTTTAACTGCTTGACTTCTGCTAAGCCTTCCAGGTGGAAAGCAACCACCAGGCAGGGAAACATCCCCAGAAAGGAATAATTAACTCGCTGGAACAAGGAACCCTTTGGGTTCAATGCTTCCACTGGGCTGCTAAATGTTCTAGGTTCTAAGCGATGACCTGCTCCTTTGCTTCCTTTTTGTGTGTCATTAAAACTAAAGATGACTCGTCTATCTAGGAACACAAAAGAATTAAGAAAATCCACACTCCACACTGTCTAATCTAATCTTGATTCTATCAGATGGAAGGTAGATCAAATGGTTTTCTTTGAGAGACTGAGGAAGTGAGAGATCACAGCGTAAGAGATGGAAATAAGAAGGCAGAGTAAATGATGCAGTCCTATCTAAATTCTGCATAATAGATCAGCTCAGGTTCATTGTTCAATAGTTCTCAAACTGAAGTACAAGGGACAGGAAACCATGTTCTGGTGAGCACAGAGGAGGGTTAGACTCTACCCTACTGCACTGCCAGGCTACAGAGCCTCTTAGGCAGGAAAGGAGAGGCTGCCAAAGAAATAACTGCAACCCCAGAGTATCTTGAACAAAAGAAATAACTACAACCCCAGAACATCTTGAACAAAATAAGACACAAGAATGTGGGGCCTACAACCACCAGGAAGCAAGTACATATGATGAAGAGGAGTCTTCTCAAACTGCGTGCCTTTTTGGTGCAAATCACTTTCCATCCCTCAGAGTTCTGAAATCTTGAAAAATTCAGTGCAAAAGAGAAGCAGAAACTAGTCAGAAACACCAGAAGCTAGATTAGAAAATGCAATAAAGATGAAAAAGGACACACAAAGAATCAACATGGGTGGGACTAGCAAGTGCGTGACACCAAGGGGGAAGAGACATGAACAAGTAACTGTGCCCTATTGAACCAGGAAGGAAAGGGCTTGGCTCCTTCACAGAAAATACTATTTTCCCAACGTACTTCCTCCTTTAAAGGAGAAAAATGCAGGAAAATGCAGGTTGCCCTTTGTAGACTAGCAGAGTTCCAGCCTGCAATGGGGTGCTTAGGGTTGGGGGGAGCCAGGGAGGGTGATCAGGGGCAAAGGGCACCACGTGCATGTGTGTGCACACAGGCAAGGTGAGGTGCAGCAGGGGCGGTGGTATGGAGTTCTGCCATACTGGTACTGGGCAGACAGGGGGCACCTCAACTTGGTGACTATAGCGGTATGGCACTCCCTCCTACACCTGGTCCTGCCCACTGGGCTGCGGAGACCCCCAAGAGGAGGGCAGCAGGGCAGGGAGCCCTAGGTCCACAGTGGGCAGCCCGCATCCTCCCCCACTCCCCTGCATTCCTCTCCCCATGGGGGAGGGAAGGGGACCTGGGCTCCATGGTCTGCTCTGGCTGCAGCAACTGTTGCCTCCCCTGGGCAGCAGCTGTGGCTTAAGTGCTACAGGGAGGGCAGGGGGCTGTTCAGGGGTTGGGAGTGAGGAGCACTGGCAGGGCCACAGGCTGTGGATGGGGTGTAAGGGGCACTGGTAGGGACAGGGGGCTGTAGGTGGGGAGTGAGGGACCATGCTGAGGAAAAGTTTGGGAAGTACTGGCTTATAAGAAAACTTTTAAATGTGCTAACCATGAACGGCATGTGCCCCGAGCAGCTGGGTGGGCATGGCTGCACCAGCGACAGCAGGAGCATGGAGGTGGTGAGCAGGGAGCTTCTGCAGATGCCACTGGCACTGTTGGCGGCAGGGCAGGAGGGAGAGAGGGGGGTGATGAGTGCTGACCATGGGTCAGCGACCACCCGCAGGCACCGCTGGCAGTGGCAATCAGGGACTTCCCACAGATGCTGCCAGTGGTGTTGGCAGCAGGGTAGCAGGCAGTAACACTGTTGGTGGCACTGCCACTGTTGGTAGCAGGGAGTACACTGCCACGCACAGGGAGTGCGCATACACCCCCTACACATTGCCCCTGGTGCTAATGCTCTGTCAGTACAATGCAAGGTACTTATTTTGGTTGGCACAGAATGAACCGTTTTTCAGTTTACTCCAACGTGCTTTAGTTCTATGTTTTAAATAGTAAGACCACATTTTAGAGACTAGCTTAAATTAAAACCCTGGATCCAAAATACCCATAACTTTTCCTTAAAGTAGGAAATCAAATCCAAATCCCTACTTCTTTGGCTATCTTTAGCAAAATCTGTGTTTTAATATTTTTAATTGCAGCTCTTAGCTATCGGGGGGGGGGGGGGGCTAGAATTTGGGAAGTAAACTTCCAAAGGCCAATTCCAGAAATGGTTTTGGAGTTGGTGTTTTTGTTGGTGTTGTTGTTGTACCCATAGTTAAACATTGATGGAGCAGTAGCAATAGGTCTGCTAGTTGAAGATGCCTTACTGCTCTAGGAACCAGAAGAAAATCAGAGTTGAAAAGACCACCATTAAAATTTCACTGCAGTAAGCAGTGAATCCTGGTGGAAAATTTAATGCTTTAATGAGACTTCCTATGTCTATAACCAGAACTGGGACATATCAATAGCTCTGGCTTGCTTCCTGGTCCTTCAGCTACTCACTGAGAACTTCACAGAGCTTCATGAGCATGAAAAAAATAACATTCAATAATAGGTCATGCTGTCAGAATGCCTTTTAAGCTCTTTTCCACATCCCACTATGAGCAAGCCACTTGGTGACAGTCAAAATTATTTCTATATCCAAAATTAAGTCTTTAGCTTCTTTCTTGTTACTTTCTCATTACTTCTGGGACTTTGAAGAAGTTGTGCA